GTACGTTGTCCGCATTGATGAGCAGTTTGTACCGTTCTGAGGCTCTTAGGATATATATAATTAATATATATGGCTACTAGTATATATTATAGTACAGAGGATTTTATTCGAGTATATTTGGCAGTATATAGGATTTTCTACTAGTATACTATAGATAAAAATATTTTGGACTATAGGTATAAGATTTGGATTTTTTCGAACAAAATTCTTAAAGCAATTGCGGTATACTATATATTATTCTACATATATATATATATCGTACACCATTTATATACATATACGCTATTATATTACTGTACTACTATATATATTTTTTAATTTAAAAATAAATCCTTAAACATCTCAATAGTTAAAATTGATTTTCTGAAATTGTTTTAATATTTATATTTTATAATCGGCATGGAACATTCGGGTTTGCTAAGCCTTTTATTATTATTATTATTATTATTTATATTTTATATCATATTAAATATCAAATTTCTGCATTGTTTCATTATTAGGTGTACCAGATTCTATCGGATCACAGTTTACCTCTCACTTGTTACTTACATAAACTCATTAAAATAGGTAACAAAGGGAAGGTAGTGAGTAGATATATTCGGGCGAGTTAGAGTAATGACCGTTTCAACACAGCTGTTTATTCTAGTCTGTCGCAGGAGTCAAGGTTGTGGTACGATTTTTATAATGCTGTTGCTGTTGGTGTTCGCTATCAGAGAACCTGGAGTTTATTTTTCGAACTTAAAGAACTTATTTTATTTCTAAGCCATTTTGTTTTGGAAAATACTGACAACAGTTGCTTAGTAGTAGTAGTAGGAGAAAGAACAAGAAGATGCAATGTGGTTTCATTTAATATTTATCAGTTTCCTAATAAATGGTAAATAAAATAAGAATTATATATTATTTATGTAATATTAGTAATTTATAAGTATTTAATATCATATTTGCCATTTTTTTTACAGATTTATGCAATTCTAACTAGAGTTGATTGCCATATCGATAGTTAGAGATGTACAATTTATGAATTTATTATTATATTTTATTGTTTCTGGAATCAAATATCTTGAAAATATATCCCTATATCGTACCGTGCAATAACCTATAAAGAATTTATATTATATATATAAATGTATATGTAATATATAATCTGAATTAACTGATTTCTGTTTCATAGATTCTGTTCAATACAATAGATTCTGTATGTACTGAAAATCTTTATTTATCGAATTTTTAGGAACCTTGATTTTTTTTTTTAAACGGTTTTGCATAACGTACAAAATTTGATGTTTCTCACAAAAAGTCGCTGTTTAAAAATACTTAATTTAATATGGGTAGAGATTATTATTAATTTAATGATTATTAATTTAAAAAATAATAAAAGCATTTATAGGCAAATTGACAAAAATGAGACCTATGAAAATAAGATTCCCTGAAACTCCTTTGTAACTTAAAGTTCAACTTTGATTTTAATTCTTCTTTCTCATTTTGAACATAGCTCCTTAACGAAAATCATTAAGAATAAAATACACAGTTGACTTAGCAAAATACATAAGTGCGGGGTCAAAAAAAAAATATATATATACATGAAGTTACTATAATAACACAGTCATCAGTGTGTAAAAACTGTTCATTTTTTAAGATCTATATTTAGTAGAAGATTGGAATCGATTAGATTCATATAGTTTGATAAAATCGATTAAATTATATCAAAACATAATACAAGTGATACCCACAAAAAATACCTTAGATATCTCATTAACCTTAATTGTAATTATAATAAAATTGCAATATTTCTTTACATCAAATTACCATATATCTGTGGCACCTATGAAAAGTGTATTATGTGCAATTTTGTGAAACTTTATGAGTATCATCAGGAAGCAAATTTTCTCTCTTTCTTTGTGTCTAATGGGCGCTATTGCCCAGATATATAAGAGCTAATTATTTTTTTTTGTGATTTTTATTTTCATCGTTAGAGTTGCTGTGTTGTATGTGTATTTCCAAGTTGTTATTTTTACTAGTTTAGTTTATTTTCGTTTATATAAATTTACTTTTAGTATTATTGTTTAGCTATTCAATTTATTGTTATTTATTGTAGATAGAATATAAATTTAAGAAGAAGAATATAAAATATAGAATATAAATATAAGTATAGAATATAAAATATAAAAACTACTCTATCACTATTACTAATGCCCTTAAATGTAATATTATTCAAAAGATTAATGTGTTTTAAATTTTTAAAAAAGGAGTTACTAAGTATTCTATAGCCTAACTTTAAATGGGCGTGGATTAATTATTATAGAAAATTATTTCGTTTTCTAAAATCATGATTCTCTTCTTAATCATTTGGTCTGGAACCTTACCCTCTGGACCTCGTACAGTACATGAGTAGCTAATAGATTAATGAGTAATCTTGTTCCACATTCCTACTTACGTTAACTTGCAACATCGCGACAATGGATTTCTTATTCCTTACCTCCAATGGGTGTGTATTCGTTCATTATGGACCCAACGGAAAGCATAGAGTTGAAGGACATATTGGAGCCGTTGAATCCTTTTAAGTGCGAAGGGATCTGCGCCTCCTTGATGTTGTTATAACTTAGCGGTTCGGATAATGGCTGTTCCACATCTTCTCCCTCCATTTGCATAATTGGTCCCGGCCTTAATGATGTGCTGTTGGATTCGTACTCCCACTGTCCTTAATTGGCCGAGTCGCTTTATGTAAGTTATATCTGTCTTGTTCTCAAGTTTTATCTCTTGCATCTGCTCTCTGTTAGCTTTGCCTTCTTCTACTGGAACAAGTCGATTACAAGTTTTTATCAATTACATATTATTGTATTTACCTCTAGGTCTATTATTTCGTCCTCTCGAATTAAAATAAAAAAATTAACCCAAATTTACATCAAGTGCATACCAAAATAGTAAATGAAATGGATGAAATTTTTAAAAATTTGAAAATGTTAAACTAATTTCATGTTTATGTGTTCAATAATCTTCCCTATAAGAGTTAGTGAAGTAAACGTTTAAGTTATTATTTTGAAGGAGTAGAATAGATGAATATAGGAATGGCTTTAAATAATAACAGCTACAAATAATTGTTAAAATAAGTGAGCTAGAATGACCTAAGTAATTTATTGAGTTCGATATTTTTCGTAGGCGCCAACGCCAGTTCCGCTTTTTCCGCCGATTTAGTGCATTTTCTAAAGAACCCTTGCAAATATGTTAAACATTAATTTGTGATTTAGAAAGATAAATTTATTATATATGTGCTTTATCCTAAGGCGTTTTTCGTTATTGTTGGCCGTTTAATTACAAATGACGCTTGATTTTCAGAATTAATTTGAACGAATTGAAATAATTGACTTTACTGGTATTTTTTATTGCCAAGACCAATGATTTGTTTTTATATTCTATTATTCACTGACTATCTAGCTTTAATAAACCAATTATGATGAAATGAAGTCAACTGTTGAATCTCAGTGACCGACAAACCAACTCAAATCAAAAATTTGCTCCTTCATGGTTCAAAGTGCGAAAAATTAGCAGTTTTTAGAATTTTCAAAAGTGATCAGGAGAGGTCCCAAGTTCGAAATCTTGGATTTCACATCTCAATCACATTCTATACAAAGAAATAAAAAGAAATATTCTACCCCCATTCAATGTAACTTACGATGTACAAGGTTTACTGGACTAATCGAAATGGGTTGTTTTGCCCTTCCTTGATATGGTAGATAGCTTTCCATATCCTACCATTGTATTTGAGAAATACGTTCCTTTGGTACAACGTTCACTAACGAAGATGAAGCTGTTGTAGCTGAGAGTAGTAGATGACCTGTAAACATACACCCTGGTTTTGTTGTTAGTTGTTCTAAGTGGGCTGTTTGTGTCTGGAGAGCAGCATGTTATTTCAGGCTACTTACTGTCGAAACAATAAACAACATCAACGCCTCGATAATATTTCAATAATAATGTTTTGTAGTGATATAGACAAATTTTTATTTTATTTTCTTTTTTTTTATTTATTGTATAAAGGCGTCAACCACCAGAGTCATTATCGCCTTGTGCCAATGGTTAAATTTTGGAGTTATTTCTGTCCGTTTTAGAAAGTCAAAAAGTCTCTCAGTCATCTGTACATAGTCCAGTAAAGCGGGATAGATGTATTTCTTATATTTTCTTTAACACTCAATTAAATTAACAGTAAGTAAGAATTCAAAATATCCTTTAAATACATTTTTATGAAGAAACAATCACTGCTTTTAAAATTTTTATGTTAATTTTTTTTCTTTCTTCAATGAACTATTTTTGCATTTTTGTCAGCTAAAAATGAATAATGTATAAAGGGAAAAAATATCCTTGATTTTTTAGAGTTTGCAACCTCATATATTGATGGTATATATTATTATCTTTGAATGTAAATGACAATTTATATTAAAGCAACATTTTTGGGAGGGAGGAGGTGAGAGGGAGGAGCGATCTCTCTTTTTCTATTCTCTCCTTTCCCCCGCCCACCGAAGTCTGTGCCTTCATTTACTGAGTATGTTCTAAGATTCGTGCTGTTATGTTTTTTAATTACCTACTCACCTCTATACTATAATCTTAGTTATTTTTCCAATATTCCCAGCAATCAATTTTCGAATATATAGGATTTAAATTTTAATATTTTGATATTTATTATAGTTATTTTCTATCTTCTTACCAATGCCAATAAGTAAACAAGTTGATTATTATTTATCGGTGTGTATAATAATTTCATAATTTAATTTATTGTTTATATATGCTTAACCTTTTAATTTTTAGGTTACTTTACAGAGTATTTAATTATTTTTTAAGTGTAATTTTGTGTCAGATAAATGTCACTTGTTGATTTCCATTATTTTTAGGGGATTTGAATTCCCAAAATAAAATTTACAATCCTTCTTCTTAATCTTAGATAATTAAAAACACACAGTGCGTCTGCATTACGCTTAATGTGACTATATGTACCTGTTCTTCTGTTACAGACATATCTCAGGAAACGATACCTTCAGAACTGCCAATCAAAGGAGACCCATACACCGAAATCAAACTGGATCTCGTCTTTCCTAAAGGAAATCCTATCTTCGTCTTGAGTGAGAAGAAACTCCAGCTCCTGGAGCCTCTGGATAGGGACATGGATAACTTGTCGCACATTGTCTTCCAGGTATAATATAATATTTATTAGTTAATCCCATATACCCAAAATACAACAATTATAATAAATAATAATGGTCTCTTAAACATTATCAAAACTATTCCTTGAAAGGACCATTGTAACGAATCATTAATTGCTAGTAGTATATTATTTTCTGATAGTATTTATTTCCCACCACAACATTTCAATTTAATCAGCTACTCTTCCACTTCCACCATAGCCATCGGTTTCCAGGCAGAATCATTTAAGATAAAAATTACTATTGAGTGAAAGAATTATGAGTAAAAAATATACAGTGTGAATTAATTTGATTTTCAAATATTCAGAGAATAGGCATTGATGTGTTTGTCGTTATTAATGAGTGTACCTATGCTTTATTAACGTGCTTTAATTTTTTTTTTCAAGCAGACAATCAGCTAAACTTTCCGAATTTTATGGTTAATGTTTACCCTTTTCGAGCTCGGCTCGTGAAAGCGTCGTGAATTATCAGCGGGGATGGTTATAGGATTTTACCAAGTGTGAAAGCGAAGAGCATCAAATGAAAATGGAAAGTGATTTTACTGCCGTTGGTCATTTCTGTGAAGAATAAGAGAAATCGCACCAGGGCCACGGCCAAGCTGATATTTTAATTCCATGGGTTTCTTTTTTTCCTTCTGAGAACTCTAGTCCATTCAGTTGCCACGATAACCGTTTCAGTTCAATTGTCAGAGCCGAAAATTAGTTAGGCCTAGGCATTATCTGAGGTTTTTTCGAAAGATCATCTTTTAATAGAAGATTACTATGGTTGTCTTTAAGATCTTCAAATATATTTTAGTTAATTTTATGAAAAAATACACCTTTCAGCTAATTTATTTGCCGCACAGGCGGATCTACGGGGGGAGGGGAGGACTTTCGGTCTGAAGCTTCTCCCCTCCCCAAAATGATAAAATGTAACCATGTTTTATGATAAAAATTATTTTAAAATATCTTTTAAAGTATTATTGTACGTGTAATTACGTTTAATAGGACTTCAAAAATCACATAAACACCATTTCATATATGTAGATAGTATCTTTCTCTTTTTTTTTAGAGTAGTTATCGATATATATATATATATATATATATATATATATATATATATATATATATATATATATATATATATATATATATATATATATATATATATATGAAAAAAAAACCTTTCGGGCTGAAGTCCTCCCCCTCCAAAATGAAATCCTGGATCCGCTAGTGATTTACAGAGACACTACTTATAAAACAAAAACTTTGTTGTAAATTAAAAATTCCGTTATCTATTTTACTTACTAAATGCTCAGTTTTGATTTTAACATGTTTTTACGCTGTTAAAGAGAAGAAGAAACGCCAAAGGCATAATAAAATTATCTAAATGGAGTTATTTCATTCAGATTCATGAAACTATCTCTTTTTTGACGGAACGGTTATTTATGCCACCCACATTCTACCTAATATCAGGTGCGTCAATAATCGTGACAAAGAAGGTTTAAACCATCGATACTTACACCTACGGAGAACAGGAATATAATGTCTAGTGGGGACAGCATTCAATAACTTGTCATGGTGTAAGTAGGTATAATTTAAATTTTGGAAATATATTATTCTCGGATATATCACAGCCAAGTTTTAAAAAAAAAATTTCTTAAAAAACGTTTCAATTTTCCTACCTCTGGAAACTTAGTATTAAAGAGTAATACTTTTTCTATCACTAACATCTATTCTAATGCTGATATACAAGCTATCTTTAGTGTAGATACAAACTTTCGAATTTGATTGGAGGGGGATTGTTTTTTAACCTTAACCTGTACCACTACAACCCATGAAGGGTCTTGGGTTCTTCAGTACTATTAATTGAAAGCACTGTTTCTTGGACTACGGTTGTGCCACATGATTTGACCGAGATCACGCTCAACCACCAGGTTTTTCTCCTTAATTAATTATTTCAATTTAAGGTACCCACTTTATAGACGCTGGGTGTGCCCCAAAGGAGTCTATCTATTTTCGGGGGAGTCTATCTATTTTGTGTAAAAAATCAACATAATTATAGCGAAACGATCAAATACAATAATGAATATTAAAAATTAATTTGTTTATATGCTTGCATAGTTGTGACAATTTTTATATTTGTTTTTGTCTGAATTGTTATATATAATTTAAAATATCTAAAATTGAATATATAATGTATCTATTTAGATTTAGCACAAGGGTAGGGGAGACAACATTTATAATGTTTGCACATTTATAGAACTTTTTCAGCTAAAAATGATATTAATTATCGCATTAATTTCCCTCTAAATTTAAAATATACCAAGTTTTAAAAAATTAAATTTCAATGAACTAAGAATGAAATCAACTACTAGTCGAAAAACAGAGAAAGTATTATTTACTAATAGTCTGTGTTACAGACCTCTTTTTATCAAATTATTAACATCCGGCTGAATCTTTGTAAATAGCTTCATCCCATATTAACCTACAAATATTTTATTTACGAAATGTCTAGAAATTTGGGCGTTTTCAATCTGGAAGTCGGCAAACTTTGCTTTCCATTTTTATCGTAAGATAACTTGAACAAAACGTCGATAAAAATGGTGGCCTTTAAAAATGTTGAGCCGTTTAGCCCAAATCAACCTCCTTAATTTGAAAATTGGGTGTGTAGGTCACGCCAAACGGATCAATATTTTTTAAAGCAACCTTTTTTCTCGACTTTGTGCCTTAAGTTATCTTACAATTTGAGTGGAAAGCAAATGGGTATTTACAAGTTTTTAGTGCCTAATTAAATAGACAAAGTTTGCCGACCTCCAAATTGAAAACGCCCCATTTCCGAGAAATTTTGTAAATAAAATATTTGTAGGTTACGATGTGATAAAGCTATTTACGAAGTTTCAGCCGGATGTTAATAATTTTATAAAAAGATGTCTGTACAACGCACTATAATCTTGAAACAGATTCAAAACAAACCATTGAGTTTTAAATAGCATCTATTATGTAAGGTTGCAAAAAAGGAATGATAGAATGAACGAAACATAACGACTGAGAAAACAAAAATAGAGATGTGGTAAGTATACACGCTAATTATAAAACAATTGAAGCAAAATTATATAAAAAATTGTTTTTATGTAATTATATTAATAGGGATTTGTTCATCATTAATTATAATTACGATGCAATCTGCAGTAAACCGCAGGTGTGCCTGGTAGTAATGTCAAGATATTTATCCAATGAGGTAATGCAAGTTGTATACAAGAAAACAACCTGTTCTATCTATCAACAATATTATTTTTATACTATAATGTTTGCAATACCATTTTGCCCCTCAATAAATTCACTCACTATCAAATAGGTATAATTCTATTTAACTTTTATAAAAAGTTTCGTTTTAACAGCTCCTATGAAACAGTCAAGTATAAAAGTTTTTAAAATAAATGTTCCTCAGATATTTATTTATTTAAGTTCATAAAAAATGTTACCTTAAATGAGAAATGTGTCGTTTGTTAGAGTAGCAAAGAATATATTGTTCGATTACAATTCCTTAAATTGACTTTTTGGTGTAATGCATCGGAAAAAAAAAATACTTTCAAGCATAATATTTTTAAAAATAAACTTGTTCCAAAGGAAAAAGATCTAGTACATAAATAATAAAAAAAATCCAGTCATACCGAAACTGATTACAATTAAAATTTAAAATTCCATTTCTAGATGTTATTAAATAGTGGTAGAGCTATCAATTTTTTATTTTATTCCATTGCTATGCATTTAAAACTTAAGCGGATAGAAGACATATCTTCCTGAATAACTTCTGAATTCAGTAATTATCGGAAACCATAATGTACTATTGAAAATCAAAAATCAACATTGACAAGTAAACTTAATGAAGAAGGGATACATTCATGAAAAATACTACAATCTGAGTAGTATATGACGTTATTTCTTTATTCAATTGTCTCACATTTGTATAATAACGAAACTGAGTATTTCATCTCTCGCTGTTACCTTCATTCTCCAACGCTTTAGTTTTTTAGGAATTAGGAGGAAGAAAAAAGCTTATTTTAAAATTAAAAAAAAATGTATCTATTTGATATATTTTATACAATATTAAAACCTCTCCTCATAACCTAATTAAAATGTGACATAAAAAAATCAGCTCAAATGTATTTAATAATAAACTATTATACTTACTTATTTCAAGATGTTCAAAATTAATACTGCAGAAAATGAACGTATACATTTACTTACTGCTCATTACTTTCAACACATTTAGACTTACGCTTAAAAGATATACGGTCCACAACATGAAAACTAGAAACTTTTCAGACAAAATACTGTAACTGAAGCGCCATTGTACTTCTCAAACATTAGTTTACAGAAGGATTTACACATGGCAAAAGTTAACAATCACATACAGACACATTACAAGTGGTTTCACGATAACTTATACGGACATTACACTCGGATAAAAGGAATGGGTACAATGTGAAAGTGCGCGATAACACGCTTAAGATGTTCAAAAGAAGCTGGATAAAGGATCTCCTCGCTTGAAAATGTATAATAAAATTAAGATAGGATAAGATACAGCATAATGTACACCAATACAAGCAAAAATTAATTTCGAAAATTGTAATTATGAGGTAAATCAAAAGATAATGAAATAATGTAAACACAAATTTTACATAGAGAGACTCGAATGAAATTATTGAAAGAATATAAATTTTGTTTATATTACCAGTTATAATAGCTTATAAAATTTTAATGTTTTTGCTTAATGCTGATATCTATTTCGCTTTACTGCTAACGCGCGCAGTGAGAAAAAAATATATAAATTTAGGAGTACAAATGTAAATTTTTTTTTAAAATCTCGGCTCTAATATGTGTATATTTTACAGCACAAAATTAAGTTTTCTTAATTAATTTTGCTTCAAGTATATTAGGACTAGATATAAAAATAATACATGAGTATAGATATTTATTTATTTTTAATTTAACGTTGTTTTGAATGATGCAATTGGTAGTAGCCTCAGTGGATTTGTATATTTAAAATAATGCAGTAAAAATTAAAACTCTAAATGAAGTATTGATAATTATTTTCCTCAATTTTAATCCTACACTGACGAAATTAAATTGTTATATAAAATGCCTCTGGGTGCTCCTCTCCTTCCAGCCGGAAACTAATGTTATATTATTATTCCCGACATCAGATTCACTGGTTGACAATATTTCTGACCGGTATGTGAATAAATAAAATTTTAAAAAAATGTGGAGTTTTACTATTATAAGTCTCAATCAATTATATTAAAATATCAATTTGTATAGTTTCATAATTTTACTTTTCAATGGCACTACCTGATGATTATTTAGTTACCTATATTTTATTTTTATTCGTCGTAACGTTGACTATGATTTACCAGAGAGAACAGTTGAATTAGCATGGGGGAGTTGTGGGTTGTGTTATTTGGTGAATGGTCCCTACCACATTGTGAGGAGATCCCTCGATAAATCAAGCTGGGCTCTGTCAGTCCGCCGGGGCAAGTTGTGGGTTTTCGCTGCATAATTTATAACCTCGTTTTTCGACGTCTTCTTCAACGTCTTCTTCACGGAAGGAAGAAGACACCAAAAGAAAACGAGAGGTGGTTTTGGAAACGTCTCTAAGACGTGAAATATTGTCCTCGAGAGGCATTCAGGACCTCTTCTTCCTCTCAGCTCCTTCGATGAAGACATCGCCTTGTCAGTTTAAGGATAAGTTATCTCCCGTTAGGATATAATAAACTTTTTTTTTACAATTCACGAGTCGAACTTAATCGTTTCCCTAAATTCAAATAAAATTCAAAATTGACATTGGTTATATTAGAATTTTCGGTAATGTATGCTAATTATACCCGATTCGTAGGCATCATCCTTCGGACCAGAGCCTAACATTGAAACCGCTGATAATTGCTTCCATCTCTATTCAAATTAGTATGTCACTTAGGTCGTTTTTTTTTTCTTTCTCTTTCTATTTATATTTTTCTCATATTAGAATATTTTAGTTCAACCTGATCTTCATTAACTAATATTTCTTAAATAATTATAGAATTAATTATTTTATAATATTGTCTTTGGCTATTATAACTGACGAAAAATTCAACCGTTTTTCGTGGCTCTATTCTGACTATTCTAAAACTCATGTTACGTATTATTAATTTTTAAAACACATTTATATTTCATAATTTTGACTTTAATTTATAATTTAAACTATTTTCAGAAATTACAATATCTACTATATTCATGTAGGAGAAATAAACTATTTCTTTTATTTTTTAAATTAAATCATATAGTGATAGTCCTGGAGCCAGGACCCAAAAATCGAACTCATCGCAGACGAAGGTTTGATTGTAAATTACGAAATTTCATTTCCCATACTCGCTTCGTTTAGGTGAAAAAAAATATCGAATAAAATCTGACTTTTTTTGCTTTAAAACAGCCGCCATTTTTGAAATAATCGGCTCTGGAACGCGCAGGCAAGGTTCTTTTTATTTAGAATAACACATACTTTCGTAATTCACAATCAAACCTTCGTCTGCGATGAGTTCGATTTTTGGGTCCTGGTCAATAATAGGCTAATAGGCTAGAAGGGCCTATTAGACATTTTATGGTCTAATGGTTTTAGACTTAAAAGTATAAATAAATAAACCAATATATGAGCTATATACTTGAATAGGTCTGATTTTTTTTGCAATAAAATGTAATAAAAATATATAGTATAAATTGATAATTAATCCATATTGTATCACCTCTGAAATATTTTTTCACGTAGCCAACTTTAGACTACTTGGGTGGGATACACTCCCAACTTCATAAAGAACCTTAAATCAGGAAGAAGTAGATTAATAACAATTAATTAAATATTTTATGTTTATGGTTTAGTTTAATTTTTACAAGATTTTATTTATTTAATTAATTTTATTTAATATATTGTTTTCTGATTTTAGAAATTAACTTCTTCCAATAGGTATATATTCTGTGCTTTCTATGTTTTATTACTTAAGAAAATTTATATGCTTACAGGTGACCTGTACGGTGAGGGATACGAATAAGAAGCGGACGATACCCGTCATCGTCAGGGTTTCCGACGCCAATGACAACTCCCCTGTCTTCCAGAACACCCCCTACGAAGTATCCGTTTCAGAGGTAATGTTTTTACTTGAATGTTTTATCTTCGTTCTTGGTTCTTTTACCATGTTAATGGACTAAATATATTTTATGTTTAATTTTTTTAAGAAATCTTCTCTAGAATATTAAAAAGTTTTCGCGTTCCAATTATCGTACTTGATAAACTGGATTTGTACCATAAAAAATTCGCAAGAAATATTTATTATTTTTATTTTAATTTCCACCGTATTCTGCCATTAAGGCAATACGGAAGTTTATAGCAGTGACTTAATACGCATGCTGGAATAACAAATCAATGCTGCTAGTTAATTTTTTACATTGTGCTAAATTTCAGTGCACAAAGCCTGTTTTCATTAATTTTCCATTTCATTTCTTCTTTCACCATCTCATTCTTCTGTTCTGTCAGGATTGGGAACAGCTTTTTCACTCATACACTAACCTTTTAAAAAGTGCGGATAGATCCATTTAAACGTCAGGAATTCGTTTTTTATAAAAATGTAGAGCCCTGTCTCCCACATCAATTTGACCCTCGTTGCCTCAGAATTGGTTCAGACTGCAATGATGTGCTCAGTGGCTTCTGGTTTTCAGATTCATAGCAAATCAGCATAGTTTAGAAGTTTCACTTTACTTTATACTAAAAACTTACAAAAACTACAAATATTTTCGATTCAAAATCCTAAGACTTATAGCAGACACTCCCTGATATTTAAATAACAAACCGACTACTGGTGTTGCACAAAATCGGCAGACCAAGACCAAGACTTGTAAAAAAAAATAGATTTTTTGAATGAAAACTAAGGAAAAATAGTTACTAATACTTGAAAATTTTACTATATTTAAAGAATTGGTATAACCAATATACTTTTCCATTTAACTTCTAATGCTTCATTCGGGCTTAGTTAGGTTTCTTCTATCTAACTGTAATATCTCTATAGTATAAAGCTAATAGGTAATTGCAAGACTTGGTTATGAGACACTTGCGCAAGACCAAGAATTGTCTTGGTCTCGCTTTTGGGCAATACTGCCGACAAAAACTAACTATAAATATGTATTCTTTATTCCTGATTTCATAATCAACTACTCGGACGCAATAGACTTATAAACGACATGGCCATGGCTGACATGCTCGTCAACATGAGAATAAAAAAGAGCTGGACGAGAGAACTCCATGAGTACCATCCTTTCTCATCCCTGAAATATCATTTGCTTATTATTGGTTTTTTGCATATTTGTTTATAATGAATTTCATCAATGATAGCTATGAATAAACAAAAAAAGAAAAACAAGAAATTGTTCTTTGAAGATGCTGATTTTAATTATTAATCCAGTGTATGGGTTAGAAAAACCTTAGCATTTCATAGATGTGATAGGTAGTAAGATGTTTTTTAAATCACGCGTCTCCCAACTTGACATGTGTGACCTCAGCTCTGACCTCCTGGTTCCTATTTTCGGTCACGACTTTGGATTCTGAACCTTAGAAGTAATATTTAAGACTGCCACAGAAAAGATCTCCGGAACAACGCCTGACAGAAGACTGTTGGAAGATGTTAGTGAAAGGAAGACGAATATATAACCAAATAAGGCTGAGGTATGTAATCGAGTTTGTAACTCCTGAGGGACAAATTACCGTGGTAACGCGACCGTTTCTAAAGGTCATCTTAAGATCTGGAATATTTAAGAAAATAAAAAGTTTACTTCAAGGAGACCTGATCTGCCACTGGTTTTAACCGACTATCTATCGACATCTTTCAAAATATTAGAAGAATTTGTAGAAATTAACTGATTTAAGGTCCTGACAGTTCTTATTCAAATGAAATATATTTCAAAAAAAGGAATATTAATCAACACCAGGTCTGTCTATATCTTAATTAGCCATATTTGGCATTTAGTTAAAACAAGTTTTTTTTTATTTCTCTGGATTTTAAAATATTTGTTGCCGTAAAGGGCAGGTCTAAAACTGAATTTATTCATTTTGAACAACTATTTATTTTTTATTTTCTTCTCACTTCTTTCCCATAGATGCTATTTAACAAATAAACAATTGTAATTTATAATGTTTTCTTTATTATTTTTATTTTGGCGTTTCCGAGATACTCTTTCCCCCTCCTCAATATCTAGAATTACATAAATAATGCATTATAGGTTCAATCATAGATCAGTCATTTTTGCCTTTTTTTAATTTAATTTAAATATTTTTCTATTTGAAAACGACATTTAATATAACAAAATATCTTTAAACGATTGCACTTTGTATAAGGTTCTTCCTAGAATAAGTTTGGTCAACGACAATTTTAACTAAAAAGACCAAAATATATTTAGATTTGGGGTGGGCAAGTTCTAAATTTGTCGTTTGCAAATTATGGCAAGGAGTTTTCATTGTTTTAATATATTATTTTATTTTTATAGAAACTTATTGTTTGTTTTGATGTCTAGGCGCAAAACATCCAGGTCCTCTATCAACTAAATAACACTACTTTTATACTGTTCAGGTGGTTGGTACAAAAAATAAAAAAAAAGGATAAAAAAAAGAATAAACAAATAATAAAATAATTATTAGAATAAAATAAATAAATAATGATAATAATAGACAATTATTCATATTAAGATGGAATAGATAAATAAATAAACTAAAAAATATAATAATATATAATATATAAAATATATGGTTATAATATAGAGTTATAATATAATATATCAAATATAGAGTTGAAATTAATAAATCAATGAACTTTTGAAATTAAAATAAATAATAAATAAAATAAATTTGCAAAGGATCATTAGTTATATTCTTTTCGTATATGTTTTATAATTTTTTTATTGTCTAGGAACTTGATAACTTTGGTGAGGATTTCTTCTTGATTTCCCAAGGATGCTGATATATTCTAGGCTATTCCGAGATCTTTTAAACTTGCGGTATAAAAAGGGCGCTCTTCCAAAACATGTTTTATTGTTAATGACTGGTCACACTTTTGACATTTGGGGATAAGATCTTTTGTTATGAGGTGGAGGTGTGTCAGTCTGGTGTGTCCGATCCTCAGCCGCGTGAGGACGACCTCTTCTCTACGACTGCTGCGTTTGCAGCTGGTCCACGGTTTCATCTCTTTCTTTACTGTCTTTAATTTGCTAAGTTCGCTGTTGTCTCACAGTCTTTGTTATTCTTGGGATATGGTTTCTCTTAGAGGTCGTGCAAGTTCAGATGGTGTCAAAAAAGCTTTAACGCGGGCTGGAAGGGTAAGAGCTTCTTTTGCCTGCTCTAGAATCTATTTCGTTTCCTTTAATGATAATTGCATTAATAATGGAAACTTATTTACATTAATAATAGAAACTTATTTACATTAAACTAAAAATGTTATTAGTTTAAAAAATGTCAGTATCCGTTCAATACAGAACCTTTAATGTATTATTTATATAATGCAGGACACCGGCGGATCTACAGGAGGAGAGGAGGGGGAGCTTCCGGGCTGAAGCCCCTTCCCTCCCAAAAAAATGGTAAAATGTTTTATAGAAAAAAAATTACCTCTTAAAGTATTATTGCTCATTTAATTACATTTAACAGGACTTCAAGAATCACTTAAACGTCATGTCATATAGATAGTATGTTTCTTTCTTTTACAAAGTAATTATATAAATGAAAAAAAAGTTTTCGGGCTGATGCCCCTCTCCCCCCAAAAAAAATTAAATCCTGGATCCGCTAGACATGCAGGATGCTGATGAGGGGAACAGAGTAACTCTGAATTGACCAAATAGAAATAATAAAGAAAACACTATAAATTATGAGTGTTTATCTGTTGAACCAGAACTTTGGGAAAGAATAATAAATAATAATAAACAACATTGGATCCTCGGTCCTACTTTATTTTTACGTTAGACTCAACGTTTCAGCGCTTAGATCAATTTCAAGGGGAAAACCTTATTTTAATATACAAATAAAATCATTATGGTGAATTTTCCATTGTCGCATACTTTTGTCTAATACTGGAACCTCCACTCACTATGTTAATGTTATTTTTTATTATTACTAACTTACAATCTAAATCTATATATACATTTCTTCAAATGAAAATTGACATTAAAAAAAAAAAGGTTGCTCATTTGTGTGTTGGTTCAACAAAAAGTTGAAGGTGTACGTGCTAAAGAGAGACTAATACTTTATTATTGAAAATAATTTTAATGATCAATAAACCACCATCTGTTTAATGCCACCTATGCAATAAATCACCTATACAACATAAACCGGGCACGCCCCTCGCAATAATCTTGCGCAAGATATACTTTGAGAGGCATTGTAGCTCCCGGGTTTGCGCAATGGAAGGCAGCGCACAACAGTGCCACCATTAGCACCTCCGCCTCCATTGACGAGCTGCGTTGCCTATTGCCTGGGCTCTGTCTGCAACATGATGGATGCGAATTAATCTTGATGATGGTACTTTCGTACAGTCTGTTCCATGTCGGTTCTCCAGCCGTCTGAGATGTTGAAACGTTATTCGTTGTTGTTAATATACAAAGGATGCAAACGTGTTCAAATAATTTATCAAAATAGATCATTGAGTTCTAGCATACATTTGACGTTACCGAAACTTTTTTTTATTGTTGTTTAAAATACAATCTGGCTACTGTCCTCATAACGTTTATTTTATTTAACAAAACTCTGAACCAAAAAAATGTGTAAATTAGTAATAAAATAATAATATCCTTGAAGGTGATATAAATTATACTATTCTCAGGTAATTCAGGTTGTTGTTGCAAATTTTTATAAAATTACATTTAAAAAAGTTGAAGGTATTATGGTAAACGTACAGGTAACCGAGACTCAGAACAATTTTTAACATTATTGTAAACCACAGCTTTAGTTCTGATAATGGATCTAAGCGAATGGGTTATATTGACAGCAAATTTAGGATTTTATGGAATTTTTTTCTATGCAGTCAATTAGTTAATTATTTCAAAAAAATAAAGGGAATTCGGATAGATTATATTGCACCAGTAATTGACACTCAGGTTTTTTTTTTTTTTTTTTT